TCATCAAACCTTTTCACCCGATTTTGTGACTGACCAGAAAACCGAAAGTACGATACCAGCCCAACAGCCCCACGGACGTAGCCCTGGGTGGCAAGTTCGAACTTCACCGTTTTTCATAGCCTGAGGCATCCAGCTGTGAGACAGGGAGGTGGCATCATTATTAACAGGGTTGGGGACGAGTGCACCCAGGGACAGATCCAGGATTCTGAGTCAAGCGGGGCGAAATTTTTCATTAGTGTAGGGGGTGATTTTTTTTTTGTTAGTGTAGCGGGGTGAAAATTTTTTCCCTAGTATAGCGGGGCGAAATTTTTTCGCTACTGTAGGGCTATGCGGGTATTTTTATTCAAAAAATAACATTAATACATGCACATCCCGAACGACATTTAAATCTATTACATTCTAAGTTTAGACGATGACAAAGACATCGACCAATACATTTTTAATAACTTCTACATTGTTTAACCTCATGAATCGGTTATTGAATTGTAATTTTTGTCCACCAAGGAGGGTGTTCGTGAGTCATGACATGAGAAGTTTTCTTAATATTACAATAGTAGTATACTAGTATGTATGAGATTGTTATTTTTAGAATAATATGCACCACATACACACACACATATGGTGCATATTATATTTTAATATTTTTATTAATTCTATAATAATTTAGAGTTTATTATCCATGCAATAAATTATATTTAGAAAGCAAGAAGTAAATGAATTATGTAATCTAATGTCTATAAATATTTATATTTTGGATTCTTTTCACGTGATCTAAAAATTGTGTAATTAGTGTGTCTGGTATTTAATATTGTTTGATATATGTTTTACGAAATCCAGTACTTGTTATCTAATAAAGATAATTAAACATTACAAAACTAGGAATTCTTATATAATAAGTATCCTAAATCTTAAATAACGAGTTACTCTATTGTTTATTTGTTTAAGTTATGTAAATTATTTTAGATGTTTCTTCTTTTAAATCTCCAATTAAGTATTACATTATGTAAGACTATATATATTAATTTTGAAAATTAAAAGCTAAGGGGGCGAATCTAATTAAATTATGAAAGTTTTATGAAAATATTACATATATGGTAAAAAAATTGAATGTCCAAGAGGGGCGGTCGCCCCCCTAAATCCATCCCTGAGTGCACCAGCCTTAGACCCCGGAGCAGAGGGGGGAGCAAGGAAGAAGGAAAACCCATGGTCCTCAGCCACTGATAGCTTGCTCAGAGCCACATCCAGAGCAGCCTGAAGTTTCAGCTTCTCCTTGGCGGCAGCCTCCCTCTCTAGACGTGCAGCTCCTCGCGCCGCATTCAGGGCCTTTTCGGCCTTCTGTTTAGCCTGCAGGGCATCATGGTCCCTTTCCGTTTCAGACTGTAGTAGGTACAACTCAGTCTGCAACAATGAGTATAAGTGAGGGAATGAATGACATACGGGAGATGAAATAATGAAGAAAGGTATTCACACATACCTGGAGAGCCGTTGTCAAAGCGTTGTTAACAGACTCGACGGACGGATGGGGCAGCAATTGCACGTCCGCATTCCCCACCTTCCAGCACAACCACCTCTGATCTCCTAGAAAAATGCCGTCTTGTGTAAAAGTGTCACATTTCTTTGAAATTGCCATGAAGGTATGACATTTTTACTCTTTGAAAATATCCAACTTTCTTTTCAAAATTGCCATGACATTTTTCTCCAACTTGACAATCTTTTTCGGTGACCGGAGACGGCGATGCTGGAAGGTGGCTGAGGTAGTGGTTGAGGTCCATATATTTATTTACTAGTATGTGTACCCGTGCACTGCACAAGAAAATATGTGCTTAAAGTTTTTATTAAATTGTAGGGAAAATAAATTGTATATGAATTCGTCAATTAGTTTTTAAAAGAAAAATTTAATCGAGTATGGATAGAGCTGTCAAAATGAGTCGAAGTCCATAGGGTTAGCCCATTTCATCTCATTTCACGGTGGGTTAGAGTTGTCATTCTTCAATACAATGAACTCACCAGTTTCGTGGTGCAACTTGCACGGGTTGCAGGTTAAGTGAGTTGACCCATACAGGTTGCGAGTAAACCAAAATATAAACATCTATTTTTTATTTTCATTATCTTCAATATTGATGTTATTCTACCAAAATAATTTTCAAATATACTTATTGATTTACAACCCTTGTTGAACTATTATTTCTATATATACTAATTATTCAAATAAATTACTCTAGCATTATTTTTATACATGTACCGGAACATTAGATTTGAAAATTGTAAATTATATATATAAGGTTGAGTTCAAATGAGAAGACACCTTAACGTGTAAAAAAGGAATTAGAATGAACTCGAATGTTAGATTTATAAATCGTGCATCATTTGAAATAGAAATATGTGCTATCATAAATAAAAAATGTCGTGACATTTTTGTAAAAATTCAACCTCTCTTGTCCGTTTAAAGTCTGCATTATTTTAACTATAAGTGTATTGTGCACCCCCATTAAAAATAATGTGCGTCGTTTGAGACCATTAGGCAGTTAGACGATCCAAGCGATGAAATTGGGGAGTGCTAACCCATTTAACAACATGAACATAAATTGTGAAGCATAAATAAATATGTGACAAAAAATGAATTTACTTTTAGACATTAATTTAGTAGACCTTGTGAATTAATAAATAGATAAGTGTTACAAATTCACAGGATAGAGAACAGCAATCAGCGGATGGACCTAGCGACCTTCACTAGGGTTTGAGTTGATCGGCGGCGTCCCGGACGATCGTCCGAGTAGTCTTTGAACAGTGTTTCCGTGGTGTTGAGTACTGAGAGTGCGAGGCGAACCGAAATAGCGGGGGAAGGAGTGCGTCGCGGCAATTGATCACATTTGCAGGTGATCTCCTTCGTTCGTAGGTATTTGTACGTAGTGTTATTTTGGGCCGGCAAAGTGTCCGGCGGACAGATTGTTTGGGTGGTGCTATTGATGCCACGGAACAGATCGGTTGTGTACAACAATTGATCGATTCTCTTGCTCCCTTTTGTTGTTTCGGCGATCCAAATCAGCAAAGCGGAGATTGATTCATATTATCAGTTAATCGATTCTCTCGACTGTCTGGTAACCCTGTTTTGCTACAAATCTGTTCGTGGATTCGTCATTTTGCGATTGATGTCAACGGCATCTGGTGGCTTCGGTGGCAGCTGTGGATCTGCGTCCGCTAGGGGTGTGAGACTCGATTCTCAAATGCTTGGGTTGGGTATTTTGGCTTTGATGGTGATCGAGATGGGAGTTGTACCTATTGTGTTTGGTCCGGGTGGAATGCTAGAGGTATGGGACTCGAGTGAAGAGGGCAAATTTGAGCTCCAATCGGCTGTTGGAGGATCATCGCGGTTGTTTTGGCCAACTCATGTGATGGAGGAAGAATATGGTATGTGCATGATTCGTCCCCCTCCTGAACCGCCGCCAAAGAGGAATTGCGTGATGAGGACCTGGAATACAACGTCAGAAGAATGGATTCCGCGGTTCCACCAGCTAAAGTTTATTTATTTTTGCTATGTTTTGGTTGTTAATCTTTATTTTAATTTTATTAGGTCAAATAATAAGGGTGGCGGATTCTTAGATTGGTTTACCTTAGTTGTTAGATTTCTGATGAAAGGCAATCAGGCTGATTCAGACGCTAATAGTCTTAAAGCTCTCACATTTTCAGCAATTAGTCTCGCTCCTTTTGAGGTGGACTATTCTATGTCTGACATAGAAGTGAGAGGGCGGCAGGCTTATGGTTAGTATTAGTTGGTTTAATATTTGCAATTCTCCTAGTTGTACTGCGAGATTTGATTTAATTTAATATATGCCAGTTTTCAGTCAAAAAAAAAAGATAAGTAATATCACATTTGTCTCATTAAGATCGAGACATGTGCAGCTATTAAAAAAAGTTTATCTAGCTGATGTTGAAATGAAAAGGAGGGACAATAGTGTAAAAATGATTTAAAACTACATATGCATTATAATATTTGGAGCTACACAAACTTAGTGAATGAAGAAACAGAAAATATCAGAGAAAATGAATGAGACGGAGGATGTATTAATTATCATATTTTGGAAACAAATAAGAACCAATTTATAAAAATTCCGAATAAGGGAGGACCTGCAAGAGTTTATGAGAAAAGAAATAGAAGTAATATTTTTATTTTAAGAGTGGCTAAAAATTGTTAATTATTATTTATTTTTGAGTATTTGAATTTTGTAATACCGGCGAGTGCAAAATTTTACCTGATTTTATATTGAAAATTATAACAAATATATACACATATATTAATATAAATACATATCTATAATATTGGAATATTTAAGAGTAGAGTTTTGGAAGTTGAATAGCTTTTTTTTAATTTATTGTTTTGCCACGTGTCACTTTTTTATACAAAGGATGTTGCCACATGTCAACAATTCCTCTAAAGGGTTCTTTAAGGGTTTGCTTTATTAGATTATATAGATTTGTTTTTTTTTTTCATTTTTTTATGTTTTATAATGATTATTTTAAAAAACATACCACCTCCGTTCTCTTTTATTAGTCCTCTTAGGCTTTGGGATAGTAAGGTAAGTATAGAATGTGTAGGGTAAATGATAAAGTAGGAAAGATAGTATATTAAAAAGAGTAAAGTGATGATAAAGTAAGAAAGAGAGTATATTAAGAAGAGTAAAGTGATGGTAAAGTAGGAAAGAGAAAATAGTTTGTGAAAAGTAAGTGAGGTAAAAGTAATAAAAGTGATGATATTTTCTCAAAACTTTCCTTAAAGGGAAAGGAAGATAAATAAAAAAAACGTTCCAAAAAGAAAAGAAGGACTAATAAAAAAGAACGAAGGGAGTATTAGGAAGGACAAGGAAAAGGGTAAAATAGAAATAATTAGTCTTATTTTGAGAATTTAAACATTAATCTTTTATTATTATTACAATTATCCTCTCATATAGTCCTAAATAATCCTATTTAGGGAAATCCCCTTAATATTATTAGTCTAATCTGTTCGCGTTTTCAGTGCGACGCTGCCAAACGCCCCATTTTCGCTCTTTGGATTCAGCAACAAAACGCTCACTTCGCATCACTTGATCGAGTCAACTTTCTTTCAATCCCCCTCTACAATGGCTTCCCCTAAACCGATTGCAGTTCTATCGATTCTTTTATTGTTTCTCATTTCCTTCCAAACGCCGTCGTGTGCTGAGAGCACGAATGGAGCTGCCGCCGCGGATGAGGAAGAGGATCTCAGCTTCCTGGAAGAGGAAGACGACTCATTTTCTTCACACTCCGATCCCTACGGCCACGAGCATGACTACGAGAATTACGACGACCTCGCGGAAGATCCCGAGGCCTTAGATCACGGCTACGACGACTCCTTCCAGCCGCCGACAGTGGACGAGAAGGACGTTGTGGTGCTGAAGGAGGGAAATTTCAGCGATTTCATCGCTAAGAATAAGCACGTGATGGTGGAGTTCTACGCGCCGTGGTGCGGACACTGCGAGTCTTTGAAGCCGGAGTACGCGGCAGCCGCGACTGAGCTCAAGGGTCACGAGGTGGCGCTTGCGAAAGTGGATGCTACTGAGGAGGCTGAGCTAGCGCAGAAGTACGAAGTACAGGGATTCCCCACAGTATACCTATTCGTTGATGGTGTTTACAAGACCTACAATGGCCAACGGACCAAGTAAGCAGCTTTTGTCTTTTTCTTCTTCTTATAGACCGTTTACTTATTAAATACGATTTCTGCTCCGAATTTGATTTTGGATTTGTCGGTTTGCATATGCCATTGTTGATGAAGTGAAATACTCTTAATGGAGTGTCATATGAATCCTCAAATGTTTGAAGTTTGAACAGTAGATCATCAAATGCCATTTGAAATATATATTTTTTTAAGCGAGGTGGTGATAATTTTTATGCGTCTTTGGTAGCACAGTAGCATTCTTTTTGTTTATTCTGCTGATCAGCAGAATAAACAGCCCGCCTTTGAATTACTTTGTTGACTGAAATGGGTTTTACTATAGGCTATTCCTTTCAGAAAGTTAAGCAGATTTAGTCATTTCATTTCAATGAAACAATTCTTATCAAACGAGCTCTTTAGTTTCATACATGAAAAGTAGAATGGGCAGTAATTGCAAAGCTTGGGGAGGATTTTTTTTAGATTAGTCTTCATACACATTTATTGCAGGGATGCTATTGTTGCATGGATAAAGAAGAAGACTGGGTCAGCTCTATTCAACATAACAACAACAGAGGATGCAGAGCTCATATTGGAAAGTGAGCCGAAAGTTGTTTTGGGATTTTTGGACAATTTAGTGGTAACTCTCTACACCCTGAGCTTTTATATTTACTTGTGCAAATGAGTGAGTTACACAAAAGTGAAGCTTGATGGTGGTTCCATTTTATTGTGATAGACAAATGAAACTAAGTTTAATCAGCAGCCTCTTGGATTTAAAATTTTATGTGCAGGGCTTAATGTCTTGATGCTTACTTCCTTTCTTTAGAATTTTATCAATCCAGCACCTGAAAGATAGATTAACTATCAGTAAGGGACCCAAGAGATGGAAAATTGTCAATACCGGACCCGAAAGATCTAAAACTATCAATTAAAGACCTAAAATATAAAATATTTTGAATTTTGTTAATATTTATTTATTTGATTGCTAACTTTTGATGATTCTTCTTCACAAAAGTTTATCAGTTTAGTAAAGTTATTTTTTTTTTTAAAATTCATGATTTATTAGGTTTAAAATCGATGTTTTTCAATCATTCGGGCCCTATATTGACAATTTCATTCTTTGGGTCTTGATTTATAGTTAACCTACCTTTCAAGTTTTAGATTGATAGAATTCCTACTTGTTTTATATGGAGAAGGTTCTGAAATAAGTATACGTATATGTATTGCATTTTCTTCCATGCTTCTACATTATATTCGTTCACATAATGTCTGCAGGGCCCACACAATGAAGAGCTTGCTGCTGCTGCAAAACTCGAAGATGATGTCAGCTTCTATCAAACTTCTAATCCTGATGCAGCTAAGCTGTTCCACCTTGATCCTGAAGCCAAGCGTCCAGCTCTTGTCTTGATTAAAAAAGAAACTGAAAAAATCAACCGTTTTGGTCAGATTTCTGAATGATGTTTGCTTAGAGATCTAAAATTCAAATCACACTGTGTTCAGTACTAACAATAATTTAATGTTCTTGCAGATGGTGAGTTCACAAAAGCAGCAATATCTGAATTTGTTAATGAGAACAAGCTTCCTCTTGTCAACTACTTCACTAGGGAAAGTGCATCACAGATATTTGAAAATCCAATCAAGAAACAGGTGAAACTTACGCTGATCTTGCCCTTAATGTAAATTCTTGATCTGATCAATTGCCAGTCTTTTTGCTCTATATATTCTTATATAGTTCTTTTAGTGCCAATGTGGTAACCAGCTAAGAAACATGTAAAAACAGCCATTCTTTGAGCTTTTACATGACATACTTTGACTTTTCAAGGAAATATATTGACATATTGTTTATGCTAAGTTGCTAACACCTTTCTTTGTCCTCAGTTAATTCTTTTTGCCAGTTCAAACGATTCAGACATTCTTCCCGCATTCCAAGAAGCTGCGAAGTCTTTCAAAGGAAAGGTGTGCATTCAACAATTTTTTCACAATTTATGTACCTATTTTTGAATTTGATATTTTGAATACAATATATTTGCATGTTACTTTCATGACAAGGAAATTGGCAGGACTTACCGCATACATTTTGTTTGGGTGTGTTTTCAATTTGAAGTATAGCATGATCCGAGTAATACGAAGTACTGTTTCACTGTGTTCTATGTAGTCTGGTTTTTATTGCAAAGAATTTTTATTCTTTCCCCGATAATCAGTTACCTTGCACAGTATCAATATGCTGTCTTCAAGTCCAATAGTATTGTATGAATATCATATTAAGAAATATTAAATGACATTCTATGAGATAAAAGCTGGTGATTGTTTTATTTTTCGTCTACAGCTTGTTTGTGTTTTTGTGGAAATGGACAACGAAGATTTTGGAAAACCAGTCTCAGAATACTTTGGCATTACAGGAGATACTCCACAGGTGAGTCATTATTCTTTAGTACAGAACTGGTTTTTTAAGCTCATAAAACATGCATTGTCAGACTTTTCAACTACTGTGTAATTAGGGGTATGATTTCAGGTCATTGCATATACGGGAAATGATGATGGGAGGAAGTTCTTGTTGGAAGGTGAATTGACCTCAATCAATATCAAGGTTTGTTTAGTGGCATTACTCTGGATTGCTCCATTTAAACTTTAAAGATATCACAGATTCATGGGCGCATAATGTCAACAACAACAACAACATCCGAGCCTTAATCCCAAAAAAATTTGGGGTCGGCTAACATGAATCGATCCATGATATCGATGCCAAAAAGAGAAGACAGACAAGAAGAAAAAAAGGATAAAACGAATAAGATAAAGATAAATAAATATAAGATAACAATAACATAAGAATATAAGAAAGATAAAAGATTAAAAGATTAAAAGACAAAAGAGCATAGAAAAACTAGAAGATAAAAATAACATAGGAGCATAATGTCAACAAGAAACACTTTTTTTGTTTCTTCAATCTCTGGGCAGATTCAGTTTATTATATTCTCTTTCTTTTATTTGCCATCTGTTTTCCTTAACCAAGGCTCATACTTTTGAGTCCATTTAGATCTGGGAAGATGCTACAGAAAGTAAATAGAAATGAAAACCCAAAAAGGGAAGAAAGTTGGAAGGAAATAAAATTTTGGGGGAAACTAAAAATAGATTTGAACTCAAGAAACCAGTTTTAGAAAATTGTTTGATTTGATTTAAATATTTCTGTTATTAGTAGACTAATAAATCTAAATATATGTGAAAATTTGAAAAGATTTAATAAAGTTTGATTTATCTTCCAATTTTCAGGGCAATAACAAACATGAAACATCATTTTCCTTGGTATATCCCCCCTGCCCACCATGTGGTGAGCGGGAGAAGTTTTAATTGCACAAATTTTAAGAAATATATGTTAAGTAGGAATAATTTACTTGACATACAATTCTCACATTAACCCTTCTGTAATTTTTTTAATGTATAAGTCATATACTCATATGTGGGAATAATGTAATTGGTCATATAAATAGGGTGTTAATCTCCAAATGGAAAATTAAACGCACACCTAGTGTAGAAACTGTCAAAGTGGTCTATTTTTTAGGGCAGACCAAATTGGACTATAGCCTATTTACATAAGGAAAGCATTTTTTGTTAATAACAAGAAGGGTAAGGAATATAGAACTCGTGGATAGAATATAAATAAAAGTAGTAGTGATACATTTATTCCTCTAAATTGACTGGGATTCACATCCTTGTGCTGGAGAGCATCGATATGTCATATTTATGGGCGGTGAGTATGAAGAGATTACTTGATATCGAACATAAATTTACAGTAATGTTTCTTAGTGTATTTATGTGGCTATTTTGGATTTATCTTTTCATTGTATTTTCTCATGCAGTCCTTTGGGGAGAAGTTTTTGGAAGATAATCTAAAGCCCTTTTACAAGTCTGAACCTATTCCAGAAAAGGTAAGTTAAGACGTCAGTAATTTAATCAATAGCCAATTCTTCAATGAGTCAATCCCAATATCCAATGCTCACATACTACTGATACAGAATGATGGTGATGTCAAAATAGTGGTGGGCAACAACTTTGATGAAATCGTTCTTGACGAATCTAAAGATGTTCTTCTTGAGGTACATTTAGCCCCTTCGTCACCACCAGTACACATGCCAATACTTTAATCAATAGCCAATTCTTCAATGAGTCACAATCCCTTCATCACCACCAGTAACTTTGAATATTGTTCCCGGATTTATATATTTATCAGATATATGCTCCTTGGTGTGGGCACTGTCAATCACTAGAACCTATATACAACAAGCTCGCCAAGCATTTGAAGGGAATTGACTCGCTTGTTATTGCCAAGATAGATGGGACAATGAATGAGCACCCTCGAGCCAAGGTACTTTTTATAGATGAACCAAATATGAAATGGCCGCTTTCCATGATTGATTCTCCAAGGGTCCATTTGCAACTTGTGAGCGCTACGGAAAAAATAGAGGAAAATTGGAAATAAAAGAAAATGTGACAGAAAATAAAATATAAGATCAAAATTCAAACTCAAATTCCCAAATATATTGTATGGGTATTTGTTCAACCTCATTGTATTTAATTCTATTATACAAACACTAGAAACATAATTATATGGAAATTCTGGAAAGATGAACCATATTTCATTTTGCCTTTGCATTCTGTTAGGTTTAAAAAAAGATTAAACAACTTTCCTTGGACCTTTTTTTGCCTTGCCTTAGAATTTTGTTCTACTCAAACATACCCTAGGCATGTATTTTAGTAAAAAAAAAAACTTCAGTTGCTCCGGCCACTTGGGGAATGATATGTGTGAACTGTGAGTCCACATTGTTGTGATGAGGATGTGAATTGTTCAAGTGGCCCCGCCCCATACAGGCACACATGAAAACGGTCCTTCACAGTAACACTGAAGTGTTTGTTGCACCCAGGACCTCAATAATAATAGTTATAATAATGCAAACTGTCTCCACTTCTTTCTTTGTTATGAAGCAGCAGCCAATCCATGTAATTTTCAATGCGATTTTCACTTTGGGTCATCTGGAAAGAGAGAAAAACAGTCTCTCTGTGCTTTAGTACAGGGGTAAGACTGCGTACATTCGACCCCCCTTACCCCACTATCGATGGGAGCCTTGCGGCACTGAGGTGATGATGATGATGAATGCAAATCTTATTTATGATTGACTTGGTTGCAGTCTGATGGATTCCCGACACTGCTTTTCTTCCCAGCTGGGAACAAGAGCTTTGAGCCTGTAAGTATATATCCTTCATTTTTCCAAGCCTTTTAAAATAAATTGTCCCTTGAGAATATAGCAATCTAATATTTGTATCCCCCCCCCTTTCCCAGCTTACAGTGGATACTGATCGTACAGTGGTTGCCTTCTACAAATTCTTGAAGAAGCATGCATCCATTCCTTTCAAGATTCAAAAGCCCGTTATTTCTCATAAATCTGAGACTGAGATGTCACCACTCGATAAGACTACTACCACCAGTGATGTAAAGGATGAACTATGAGATATTTATCTTGGAGGCTCGAACATAGATCCATTGTCTCTGCCAACCTTAACAGAAAGAGGCTACAAGAAGAGTGAAAGTCGAGAAAACAACACCCTCTTATGACAGAGGCTTATCTAGCCCCCCCCCCCCCCCCCAATAAATGCATTTTTGTTGTGTTTAAATATGTACGAGTATTTAAAATATGATTACCAGCAAACCACCTGTCAGAACCTAGTTAGAAGCAAGTGTTATGAAATCTCATGTTGCCTGTACTTGTAGTTGGGAAAATTGTTTTGTGCGCCCTTTATATTTATTTCAGTGTTTGCCTTTGCATCCTGTTTTCTTTTCTATTTCACAATTCACATCCCTGATATTGTAGGATGCAAAGTCGAACTCTAGATAAATAAATGAAACAATAGGCCCCCATTTTTTTGCTATACTTTACATTGAGTGTTTTGCGTTATGAACTTGAATATGGCACCTGACAGGCTGCCCCTCAAGTGTGTTGCACGAATGTTTGATCTTTAGGATCGTGGCTCCCTTGGCGAACCCAACACTTCTATTTTCGGCAACTACAGAGTGGATTTGGAAATTTAGTACGGAGTACTACGTATTAGGGGTGGACCGGTTCCGGTTTAGGCCCAGTTCAGGCCTGGGCCCGGCCGGTTCGCGGTTCTGTTTTGTTGGGCCCGAGCCCGAACCAGTAGCCACCGGTTCCGGGCCGGGCCGGGCCACCTGGTTTGTAATTTTTTTTTGGCTTCTCCTATTTAACCCCCAACCCACCCCCCTCACCCCCAAACCACCCAAAACCATCTCAAATGGCCCAAAATACCTAGCCCAACCCAAAAACTTAAAAAAAAATCAGGAAAAAAAAAATCGGCCCGGACCGGCCGGGCCGGTTCACCAAATGGAGGGCCCGAGCCCAGAACCGAAGCCCACCGGGCCGGGTGGCCCGAACCGGGCACTAACCGGTTCACCGGGCCGGTCCGGGCCCGCACAATAGCGGGCTGGTCCGGTCCCGGGCCGGTTGGCCCGGCCTGAGTCCATCCCTACTACGTATATGACTGAATATGTACTTGTCCAACATTTCAAGCAAGTGCCTATTAACGAGCATAGCTAAATTTCTAATTTCGAGCATTTTTTTAACATCTAGCATTTATCGATCAGAATACAGGCTTCGTTTATAAAGAATAAAGCTCTATGAAGCAAGGACACTTTGTTAGGGTACCATATCCACGTATCGGAAACTTTCCCGTATCCGATACTCTAGGATACCCCTACCGTACGTTCTCGGGCCGTATCTGCAATTTTTAAAAGTTTCCCTTTTTTTGAGTAATTATTTTAAAATTTTGGATACTCGTATCATGACGGATACACGTATCAACTTTCAAAAAAAATTATCTTCCAAAAAAAATTAAAAATAAACACCCAAAAATTCGCAAAAAATGAAAAGCTAAAAATAACTTTTATCTTGCTTTTATGTGATACAAACTAATGAGCCTATCCTAATTCACCCACCCTTTTATCCCTAATTCTAATTATCCCTGGAAATAAATAGCTTCAATGGACATATGCATTAACACTTTTAAAATATTGTGGAAAAATTGACAAGAATAATCCCACCTTTCACTGGTCTTCTCATAATAATCCCACCTTTAAATAATCTCAAAATAATCTCACCTTTGCACCTCATCTTCTATCATTGGACCCTGACCATGTTTTTTACTCTTTCTTTGAAAATTATACAAATAATCTCACCTTTCACTTTTTAATCATATCCTTATAAATGTGAGATTATTTATATAAGATTTTTAAAAAAGGTAAAAAACTTGGTCAGGATCCAATGAAAGAAGATAAGGTGCAAAGGTGAGATTATTTAAATGTGAGATTATTATGAGAAAACCAATGAATGGTGGGATTATTCTTATCAATTTTTCCAGATATTGTTTACTATCTTCATTATTCTAGAACTTTGGATACTTGCACTTTTAATTTCCAAATTGTAGTTGTGTGGCTTGTTTCTCATTTTAAATTAATGACTTATTGATTATATTTATATTTCGAGATGCACTAGTGTATATGATATAGAATATGAATTTATTTATAAGTATCTTGAAAAAGTAAAAATGTTTCAATCTCATGAATGGGTAGACGTCAAAGGACAATATATGTATATGTTTTAAAAAAATGTTTTTTTATTTACAAATACACCCCTATAACTTTTAATATTTATAAACACACCCTCATAAATTTTAATATTTATAAATATGGCTCCATATCTGTATCCTACTTTTTTGGGTTTTGTCGTATCCCCGTACCTATTTCCGTGTTTCTGCTTACCCTTATCGGTGCTACATAGATAAAGATTGTTGAGTTTGAATTCGAACACTGCTACTACTAAATCGAGTCAAACTCAAACTCTAGGTGTCTGGGCTCGGCTCATTAACAATCCCAGATTCGATCATCAGAAGTTTCAGAAGGGAAAGTTCACGTAAAATTAGCCTCTTGTGTCATGTTATTGTTAGTTACCGATTTACAATGACTAATTGTAATTTTGTTTCTTTCAATAACATTTAAAGAAATAATTACATATTTATGACAAAAATAAAGACTATTTATAAAAATGTGACTGGTGACTAGAGTAGTAATGAAATAGTAGTAATTTATGTTCAAGTTTTAAACTAAACTTATCAAACAATATATTGTACGAAGTAGTAACTATTAGTTATATTTATGTAAAAAAAAGTATTTTAGTAATAATATTTGTGAAAATAATCTAATATTTGAATTACTTTAGTATTAAAAATTTAATATTTAGAAATTAAATCAAAAGTTTGACTGTCTCAGAAAGATAAAATTGGATTCATAACAATTTAACGCTCAAAATCAGAAAATAAAATGTAATTCTATTTATCATATAAACAATAAATTAACAAAATCTAGTGAGACAGAGAAATAGGAGGTTGATAAAAACTGGATAATAAGCTAAATATGTCTTAGCAAATGAGCGTTATATCTTATTGTTTCTTAAACCTGTTCATTTTAGAATGAAACTTTTTAATCGAGTTTTGTTTTGTTAGGTCTTTTAACAACTTTGCTCTTCTTTAGTCTGTGACGTCCGTGAATCTGTCTAATCATATACTCACTCCGTCCCTCTAAGACCATTTGGGATGGTGAGGTATTAAGAGTCCAAATTGTTAAAAAATGGTATTTTAGGACTCATAATTTTATACATTAATGGCTTATAGAAGGTATTAAAAGGGCCTTTTTATTCAAATATTACTATTAATTAAGAGATTTCTAATAAAGTGAGTTAAGTTTCAAAAGTCTAAAAATATGACTACCATCTCTTGTTAAACACCAATCCGTTGCACACTAATCTATTGCACACCAATTCGTTTAACACTAGGTACAACTAAAAAGGCCATTAATGAACTTTAATACTAAACAATAGGAAAGAGTTTCTCTTGCCATCCACAACAACCGCCACTATTATCACTGGCGCTGCCGGCAGTCTTGCCGCACCGCCACCCAGTAACTTGCTCCGGCCATAGTGACTGCCGCCACAGTGACCGCTGTCATAGTGACTTACCGCCACAGTGACTCCGTCGCCACAGTGACTCCGTCGCCACAGTGACTCCGTCGCCACAGTGACTCCGTCGCCACAGTGACTACTCGTCGACCGGCCATAGTGAGTGAGTACCCGTCCATCGGCCATAGTGACTCCGATCAGTGACTCCGGGCACAATTACTCTGGGCATATTGACAACGTTACTGGGGATGCCGCCTAAGTGACATGCGAACTCAGATCATCTCCTTGCTGACACCGCACCACCCCTAGTGCTGCTGCCGACCCCGCTCCACCCCTAACGACCTCCCCACTGGTCAAAGTGATTGCCCGTCCACCGGTCACAATGACCCCGCTAAAGTGGCCCAACTCCGTCCACATTCCGGCAACCGTCATCTGACCCACTATTGTCACTAACCCCCTCCATAGCCCCTAGCACCCTGTAGCCCGTCCCCTGACCTCCCCCCCCCAACCGCCATCTACGATGACCAGCAGCCCTCCACCGCCGACGTTGACCAAAGACCTCTGGCCACTACTGGACCACCGTCCCAGCTCCCAGGTCCTTGCCACCTCCCCACCAGGCCACAGTAACCCAACGCACACCACCCCAGTCATTAGCCCCGGCAGAACCACTCCCCCCTGCCCGAGTTCCCTGTCAAAACCCACCCCCTGCCCTAGACCTTGCCGAAACCCTTCCCCCTAATCTCAAGGCCGTCCACCGCCACTCCTTACCTGTCTATTACAGCCACTCAAAACATAGCCGACGGAAATAGACCGCTATATAAATGCCAAACTAGGAAAATTCCAGATCTGCTCAGAAGCGACCAGATCTATTGGAGCCACCAAAGTAGCCATTGGCTCCCAAATCCGACGAAGAACGTCGCTGGACGTATCTGTTCGCCGGCCTCATTGAAGCCATAACCGCGCGCCGTGATTTGCACAAATGCTTCTTAATTTGTTGCCATCGATGTTGCTTCCCAATCTATTGAGATCTACGGCCGCTGGTGAGGCAGAAAAGAGAAGAAAAGGGAAAGCAGTGCGGGATGTCAAGGCGGCGACGGCGTAGATACCGCGGTGGCGCGCGGCTTAGGTTGAGCTGCCATTATCTGCGACACAAGGGAGATGGATGGTTCGTTGCGGCTGGGAGATCGATGGAAGATTCCGCCTAGGACTAGGAGATGGATGGTTGCCGCTGGGAGATAAAATTTGTGGAGAGAAATGGCCTGGACTCAATTTTAAATTAGTCATTTTTTTAGAAAAGCTAAAACTTGTCATATCTTTGGAAATGAAAACTCTATTAGTAATATCTAGGCAATTATTTCTATTAAAAGTGGGTATGGGGAGGAATGAAGTTAAATATAGAGGGGGATTGACAACCAAAAAGTAAATGAAAAATAAATTCAAATGGGGGGAGGGGTGTGTGTGCAGAGGGAAATGGTCAGGTGTGGCCCGCGGCAGTCTTGTTGCGCATAGAAGAAAATGAGCTTAGCGATGTCATGGTGATCTTCTGTTGTCGTCGTTCCAAGGCAGGCTTCGTTGCGATTAGTCTCAAAGGATGGTGGGCTTTTTGGGGATGAGTATATTAATTTAGAATTGTCGGGGCTCGGAAATTTGGCATTTGTCCAACGTTGACGCATTACTTCAATTTAGGAGGAGGTCAAAGCGTTGGTTTTTGGTGGATCAACATGGGTGGAGGGTGGTGGCGAAAGTGGAGGCGGCACAGGTGGCGAGCGGGGAATGGTGAAGTCAGATTGGCGGTCTGCCCTCTCTCCTGAGTTGCTGTAGACCTGGACTCGGGCCGGGCGGCCCGGCCCGGAACCGGGCCGGCCCGGTTACTGTGAGGCCCGGCCCGGCCCGGAGCCCGGTGGGCCCACCGGTTCGGTTCGGCCCGGCCCGGCTGCTGGGCGGTTCGGGCTCGGGCCGAGGTTTTGGCGAACCGGCCCGGCCGGTTCGGGCCCGGTTCGGTCCGATTTTTATTTTTATTTTTTTTTTTGAATTTTTTTTAGGTTTTGGGTTGGATTAGGTATTTTGGGCCATTTGAGGTGGTTTGGGGTAGTTTGGGGTTAAGGGGGAGGGGTTGGGGGTTAAATAGAAGAGCCAAAAAAAAAAAAAATATTTTCGGTTCGGCCCGGCCCGGCCCGGTTTGGCCCGGAACCGGAACCGCCCACCGGCGGTTCGGGCCCGGGCCCAACTATCCTGGCCCGAGGCCCGGCCGGGCCCAGGCCCGAACCGGGCCCGAACCGGCCTGAGTCCAGGTCTAAGTTGCTGTCTTGGAGCGATCGAGATGCCAAAGTTTGGAAAATAATATTCCAAGAAAACTTGCACTAAAGAGTTTGGAGTATTTATGAGTTATTTCATTTTTTATGATCGTATTTTCGCGTTATGTTTGTTTATGTTGCTATTTTTTTTTATGTTTTTAGTTTTAGCTGTACATTAATGATTGACAATTCTGCTAGATATTATGTCTCTGGAAAGATCTATATGACTAGTGTTTACTGTGTTGTGTTATGCTTGAGGTACACATTTTTGTACACACACTTACACACTCGTGTCTGTGAAGTGTTTTGTTTTGTCTGTATACAGACACAACTCATTTCACAGACACTTCAAATACGTTGTGTCTGTATACAGACAAAAAAAACACTTCACAGACACGAGTGTGTAAGTGTGTGTACAAAAAATGTGTAACAATAGTTTTTTTGTTATTGTGTTACACTCATTTGTCGATTAGCGTTTTGTCTTGCTCTTTCAGGAGTGATAATTTTTAAGTCTAACTGTAAGGTTGATAGTGCTAATTGATTACGAATAGTTGTTGTCGATGTTGGTCTGTTGTAGGATATTTTTATTTGGATTGTTTTTGGTCCTAGATCAGACCAAACCACACCAGACCAGATTAAACTAGATCAGACTTGAATAGTTATACAATACACAGAAATCAGACGTTTATCAGACCAAACATGTTCAGTCTAGACCAGATGAGATCAGACCAATCAAACCAAATCAGATCAGGCCATAAAATTGATCGTATCGGACCGGGTTGACCCAGAGACAAGAAGCTGATGTACAAACCCCGATTCTTGATCGTATCGAAGCTTATTTCCCACTATCTTTGACACAAACATCGTTTCCGAGTTGATTTCCGAGCGAACTCCGATTCACTGGTATAACCCATCTTCCTTTGGCTTCCTCAGTGCTTTCTCCTTCTCCCCTGCTTGTTTTTATTTTTGTCTCTCCTTCCACTGTAGTGCGTATTATGGATTTAGATGTGTATGATCTATGGTTACATGAATGCTTCGCTGCTACGAAATTGATCATATGCTCTATATCTAATTATCGGAATTCTTTTTGCCATTTGCATTTTATTTGCTGACCATTTATTCATTTTGTGAATTGATTGGGGGCTGGAAGATTTGATGGTTAGTAGAATTCTGATCTGGAATGAAATTTGGATATGTAATACTGTAATTGGAATATGTTGAGTTTCTGCCTAGGTTGGAATAAGTACATTTGGCCTTTGACCAACAAAAAAAAGTACATTTGGCCTGCTTACGGTCCCTATGATGTTGTTTTCAGCTTCTGCTCAAAATAACCTTTTCCTAATATTGTTTATAGTTCTCTAAAAAGGTTGAAAACGATCCAAACGCGATCTTAGACTCTAGATTCATCCTCCTGATTTAAGTCACAGTCATAAAGTCATGGGATGACTTCGTTCCTGAGTCGAGTGGCCTGCCACCCACCTTACTTCTAGAAACTTCTAGGCGACAAAAAGGTCATGCTTTTAACATTTGGCATACTTTGATGGGTATATATCAAGAAATTTTATCCATCTAATGAACGACTAATCCCATTAGTCAAGTACGGAGTATATATTATGATCTACAACAGCATTCTTAATTCAATCACTGGTCTAGTAGCTTTACTAGCTTCATCATCTTGATAATCAGAACATACTTGGTTTGCCTCATATCTCATTACATTCATTATGGTGTAGGTTGGTGTTTATAGACAACTATGGAATCTAACAGGGGAGGCCAGAGTGGAGGAATTCATCTTCTGCTAGCTGCAGAGAAAGAAGCTCAGCAAGTTGTCACTGCTGCCAGGGCCGGTAATTTCTTCTTATTTTTCTCAACTCTCTTACTTCAAATAGCACATTTTACCTTCATGTGCATAATCATATACTCCGTATATTTCTAATGCATACAGGCGGGGTGGAGGGGTATTTTCTTGCTAGGTCGGCTGTATCAAACAGTTACAAAAATGTGTCAGGCTTGAATAAATTTTCAAAATGATCAATACCTTTCAAAAAATGCCCTCATTAAATGTCGCCTTCTCATGCTTTTCCTCTTTGGAGAATAGAGTGAATTGAAATCAGTATAAGAGGCGGCCTAAGTTGGGGGGGATTTTTAATGTGCATGGATTTACTAAATGGATCGAAAAAAAGGAATTAGGGAAAATCATCATAGATAGATGAGTAGAAACATATGGAGTAGTCTCTTAATCTTCTTGATTTTAGAAATTCTTATAGTTACTAACATAGCATGTGTGTAGAAACTTATAGTGACAGATGAAATTCCAAACAGCATATAACTTTTGAATAAATGTTTACGGCATGACTTGCTTTTGCCTGTGATGTTTCAATGCTTCATAGTGTGGATTGGGCTCCGGACTGAGCGATTGATGCCAGTTTTGTGGATACAGATGATACAGTTTTTATTGTGGATACAGATGATACAGTTTCATCTTTTTGCAGCGAAACAGGCGATACTGAAACAGGCAAAGGAAGAAGCTGAGAAAGAGATAGCAGAGTTTCGAGCTAATTTGGAAGCTGCATTTCAGATGAAAGTTTCCCAGGTAAATTGTTGGTGTAATTTCATTATTCCCTAAACTCTCTCTAAACAGTCTTCCTACCAATATCATAATCCATAGAAGAATGAATCCATTAATAGTACTAAAGCAATCCTTGCTTCTCAGTTTTTGAGAGCTCACCTGGGGTCGACTTAGACCTAACACTTATTCTTACCCGTCTATCCAATTTTTTTTCTTAAGCTTAATATACCAAGTGTTGCAATAGTTTCATGAAATGTTATCATTATCAATGTTCTCTGAAGCTATGTGACCCTAGTTAATGTGCGGATGATCAGAGTAGCGGTGACTCGGGTGCAAATGTGAAGCGTCTTGAACACGAAACGGAGGAAAAGATCCAGCATTTAAACATGGACACAAATAGAATCTCACACGGTGTTGTCCAGATGCTTCTGAGGCATGCTACCACGGTGGCTAACTGATTGTTTTCCTCTTAAATATGGGACTGATTGAATAAACCATTGTCATCTTTTACAGAAGATGTTTGTTAATTGTACCACAAATAAATGCAATTTGGATATTTCATAGAGTAGGTGAATTGAGTTCTGCTGTAGCATAATAAGGTTCGTGATTTGTTTGAATAGATATAGCCATAAAATTAATAAGCATATTTTTTAGGGAAAATAGAAACTAATAATCCAACCTTTTAGCGGTCTTCTTACAATAGTCCCACCTTTTGATTATTGATGAATAATCCAACCTTTGCACCTCATCTTCATTCACTGGTCCCTGACCGGTTGATGACCTACTATTCCAAGTTATTTTCTTATCTTTGCAAACCATTATATCATAAATCTCACCTTTCACAAAGATAATATTTTGCAAAGATAAGAAAATAACTTGGAATAGCAGGTCATCAACCGGTCAGGGACCAGTGAATGAAGATGAGGTGCAAAGGTTGGATTATTCATGAATAATCAAAAGGTGGGACTATTGTAAGAAGACCGCTAAAAGGTTGGATTATTAGTTTCCATTTTCCCTATTTTTTATTTAAAAAATCAAAGTCTTTGGGTTTTGGGGGATTATGGTCGCAAGGCTGAAACTTAAAGGAATTGACGAAAGGCACCCATGGAATTTTGCAATTCATTCCAAGTAAACAATACTAGTAATTCTTTTAATATTTCAAAAGAACTGATACCATCCAATAAACACAAAACACAAGTCCCATTATGCACCATTCTGTACGGTTTCAACGATTTTTATACTATTTGGTTCTTTTTTTTTATCATCAAAATCCAACAAATATATTAACCCAACATAATGTTCGTCACATGGCTGATAATACAATAAAAGAAAAGGAAGTAAACAAAGCAATAAAAAATCTTATGCCTGTCGTCCGCCCTCGAACCAGACTTAGAATCTATCACCTCTGAATAAGCAATAATATTCGCTGATCTTGTAATGGGCTTTACTGAGCCAATGACTGACAAACCAGACTTCTCATCATCTGACTTAAAATTTAGAATTTCTCTGCTAGAAAATAAGAATACGTCCAAAACAACATGCAACTCGAAAGAAAAACACAAATAAAATAAAATTTAATTAAAATAGAGTTCACACATCTTCCAAACCCTAGACTTGCTTGCACTCCATGGCGGCTTAGGAGGGGGACGCGCCCACCGCTCACCCTCGGCATTCGCGTACCCTTATAAGCGCAGAATCTCCCTTGCTCGCCGGCATTTGAGCTTTGTCTCCATCAAGAAAATAATAGGACAATTTTGTTGAATTAGGTCCGTCAAACACTGAAGCGTTGCTGGGTTACCCAACCCTCTACAATTCCATGTGATGATGCTCATCTTCTCTCGGAAAACGAACCAACTCAGCAACACGACTTCGGCTCCTCCAAGACTGTGATAGGTCTGCAACTCGTCCAAAGAACTGCTCCTTCCAATCCAAGTAACAACCGGAAGGAAAAGAGCACCGGCGCCGTGATCAAAAGGCGATCACCGCCGGACAATCCAAGCTAGGTGTTGCCTTGCGGCAACCCTAGAGAGAAGTTTTGTACTCCGTATTGATATACTTGTAAAATATAAATAACAAATAAATAAGAATTATATAAGATTGAAAGTTCACTATGCGAATTGATGTTCCCCTATGCATGACTGGCATGGGTTAAAAGAAATTTAATTTTGAATAATCTTTATGAGATGCTCAAGAATTTAGGCATAAAGTCATGACCACAAATTAGCTGTGTATGTGAAATGATTTCTATCACTTTGAATGTCAAAACAATGAAGATATTAATGAAAGAAAGCTTATATAGGTGAAATAGATGTATACACAACACAACACACAAGCACTTCCAATTTTTTTCATATATATGTCTAAGGATTAAACACACAATTACTCGCACTAGAAAAGTGCATAGTAATTCGCTAACTACCGAACACACAAGTTGTCTATAATAACCAAGTGGAAAAACCTGCCTTGTAAATCATCTCCAACATGTGTGTAGAAAATAATCAAAAAAGAAAAACTCCATATCATCCCGACTAATGCAATTAAAAACGAAAAACCGATAACGTCTAAGAATAAAAATGAAAATGTAGATAAATAAATTTCCAGAGAGCATTGCGCATAGTAACCCTGCATTGTTCCGGTCGAGCTTGTCCGTCTCTAGCTCTTCCATCTCGGTTTACTCGTAACCCTGGGGAAATGAATTAGCAGATTCAGTCGAGAAAGCCATAACTTTATCAATTTCCGTTAAAACAAACCGATTCATCAAATTCTTGTGTTACCAGATGAGCTCATGATTGTTGATATTTTACATATCTCACATAAATATAGACTATTTTAAAACTTTAAACTATATCAAGTTCAACTAAGACTAGATCTATTAATTAAATTTATTTACAAATTAATGCGCATGTGGCAAAGTTATTGGCCAACAGAAAGGTAATATGAAAAAATTATAAAGGGCTCAAAGAGTACAATTTTTTTCTTTATTTATTTGATACTATCTCCGTCCCATCATATTGTCAACTTTTAATTTTATTTATCTCAAAAACTGTGTAACTTTTCTTTTAAAAGTAAGTAATTTATATTTTTTATTTCTCTTTTTTTGCACAACTCTTTATCACACACGTTTTACTTTTCTTAATTTATTTAACATAAATTTGACAATATCAAATGAGACGAAAGCAATAATTTCTTCATAAATTAGCAAGCACATACACCATTCATTTCAGTCTATTTCAATAAAAAAAATGAGAAAATTCCTGAAATAAGATAAAAATGTTTCAAAATACGAATGTCATATTTTTATTTCAAAAATAGGAATAATTATTGCTAAATGTAAAAAATATTGTCATTTTTAAAGTCTGATACCAAAACTTAACCACAATTAGTCATATTTTATAAACAAAAAATACAATAGTCATATTTTGGTGTATAGAAACATTTTAGATCTATGATACAAGTAATTTCCTTTAAATAAATTGGGACCGTTCGCGCCCTCCCACGCTGCTAAAATAGTAAGCTGTACTCCGTACTGTATAGCAATACAGTAAATCAAGTAATCAACTGTGCTAGAGCACTTGAAAAAGTCGTCACTTTGCGGTGATAAGGGGTTTTGTCTGCCTAAAAACATGCATTATTATTACAATAATTCTATTTGTACACACCACTGTACCCACCAAATACCCACTATATATACTTCCAAAAAAATTACCCTCTTTCATCCCCTTTACCCCTCCCCCACTTATCTCTCTTCTCCCCTTCTTTACTTCTCCTACGCAGGTATGGCGTTTCTACCCCCCTCCCTTCTTCTACATCCTCTCTTCTTCTCTGTTTATTCTTCTTTTGCAATTCACCATCAAAGCTCGATTCTGGAAAATTAATCCAACATTATCCAACGATTTTGTCTCAAAACTTTGATAAATCTTGAGGTAATAATATACTTCTTCTTTTTTGCTTCTACGGTTATAATTTTTCCCCTTTTCAAATTTGCATTTTAATCTATAATCTGTTGATGGTCGATCAATTGCAATCTAAGACTCATTCAAAACCTGTAATTTCCGAGAGTTTTCCATAATACTTGGCACTACCCTTTTCTAGTTCATTTTAGGAGTTAAATGGTCTGCTTTGGTAAGAGATACAAATCCCTAAATTTTTTAGTTTTAATTTTATGGTTTTATTTATTTAGAATTTGTGATTATTTGTATAGAATGTATGGTATAACACTAAGTAGGTGAATATTTTGTATTATTGTAAGATAATGTAGTGTTTATTATTGAAATTCAATTCAATTACTCTTTCACATTTACGCTCATAACATGTTTGTTGAAATGATTCAATAATTTTTTTGTTTAAATCCAAGATTCTTACTCTCCCTTTTTGTTAATTAGTTCAAGATTCTAATATTCTTGAACCCTAGATTTTAATTTGATGCTTTCATCTAAAGAGTTAAATTACTCCTTAATTTGGTTCTAATTCAATTACTCATTTTTTACTCTATTTCACTTTATGTTACTCCATATAAGACTGGCTTTTAATTTGATAATTTCATGAAAAGAGACCATTCTTCTTAAATGTGTTCAAATGTGGAACAGATTTGGTTAATATCACTGTGTATGTTTACTAAGTAAATAGTTAATTCATGGTATATCCTCATTATCTCGAATTTTGAAATTTTATGGAGAATTGAAGTTTGTCAATCAATTTAAATGATTTTAATAGGTTGTTGAGAAGCATGGATCAAGTTGATTCAATTTACTATAGAAACCATTATTCATTTGAAATTGATCTAGATCTTGAGATGGCCAAACAACACTGAAATGTGTAGCCTTGATGGGTTATTATATATCTACAGATAATGTGTGTGGAATGAGTGGGCTATAAGATGTTAATTCTGTCTTATTATAGTTTCTTTCCCATAAATGTTTTGTCATTCTAGAAGTTTTAATTTGTTTTTTATTGTTGCAGGTTGCTTCAAATAAGTTGAAGAGTGGGTGACTGAATTTTTTTTGATAGACATGTAGTAACCATATGGATCCTACTTAGTTTGCCCACATATGTCAAAGACTTGAAATATGTATATATACAAAAAATTAGTTGTAATCATTTTTATTAGAATGTGCTACTTTACTACATCCACAGTTTCATTGTTTATTACTCCGTATACACTAGTTTGCTTCCCTTTTATGACATTATGATATGAAAATGTTGTAATATGATCTCTTATGTTTGCTCCCCTTTTATGGCATTATGAAAATACAGACAATTTTGCCACGCACAGACAATATAAACGAACATACATACAATTATTGTCAACACCCAAACAAAATAAATGAACACACAGAAAATGCATTAAACACGAACAAATAATAGAAGTGAAGACATAAGTGATGCTTCAACTACACACGGGCTAAATAAGTGAACACATAGACAATGTATTAACCACACACAAACAATGTTTTAACATTTCACACGCAAAATAAGTGAACACATGTCATATATTTTGTCTGTGTGTTGTTTATATTTTTAATTTATTTTGTTACATTGATATTCTCTATAAAGAAATTCAGTTGCTTATAAATCAATAAATCATATACTCATTTTGATGATTTATTGTAGTAAATTTGTATTGGAGTTTTAAACGAACACAGA